AAGGGCAGCGTTCTGGCACGTTTCCCCAGAGCAGGTAGCACACATCACAGAACATCTGAGCCCTGCTTTGAGGAAAGTGCAGCCACCTCTGCACCCCTTCTTGCATTTACAAGAGAGGAGTTTTAGGAGCTCTGCGGGGAAAGGATTTGCTCATGCTCCTCTGCGGTCTATGATCCACTAAAACAAATGTATACTTCCAGAAGAGTGGCAGAGGTGTGGCGGGTTGCGTCCAATTCTCCACCAGCTCATTCCACCAAGGGGAAGTGGAGCTACCACCTGGATTTGAACTTTTCATCCACGCATTTACTGGGTGCGACACCACATCTGCCCTCTCCTGGCAGGGGAAGATGAAAATGTGGGGCCACTTCAGACAAAATCAAGCCCTAGTGGATCAAGCAAGGGTTTTCCTCCAGACAGATGCCACGCACAAACAAGTCGCAGCAGCCGGTGATAAATGCCTAGTTGCCCTATATGGAGGAGACGAAACGAAAGACACCCTCAACGATGTACGCTCCCGTACTTTTGTGAAGACAGCAGCCAACGCCAAACCGAATCTGGCCCGTTTGCCCCCAACCACAGAGGCTGCGTCGTATCACCACTACCGCACATACCACCAGGTGCAAAAGTGGTTGGGGTTGGAGAAAGAGGCCACCGACTGGGGTTGGGAATTGACCTCGGCTGGACTCATCTCCATTACTAGTCGGCAAGCTCCTGCCCCCGCAGAGCTCCTAAAACTCCTCTCTTGCAAATGCAAGAAGGAGTGCAGAGGTAGCTGCACTTGCCTCAAAGCAGGGCTCAGATGTTCTGTGATGTGTGCTACCTGCTCTGGGGAAACGTGCCAGAACGATACCCTTGTTATCATTGAAGAGGACGACGATGACGAGCCTCAAGACAACCTTGACGATCCACCAATACTGGAGTACCTACCTATAGGAGACGAAGACCAATAGTGGAAGAGATACCTATTGAAAAGAGCAACGAAAGTGCCGGCCCAGGGCCCTCAAAATCAAGGCGACGAATTTGACTGTGTGTCTAATTTGATTGACTGATTGATTGATTGATTAAGTTACTGTACTTTTGATTATTTATGTTTATATTAAAATACATTTCACCGTTTTTTTAAATGATTCCATGCCTTCTTTTTCATTACCAAACCAAAAAACAAAAGGTAGGAAAGGTTATGGAACATTTCTGGAAAAATGTGATTTTACCTTATATTGTTTTTTTTGCGATTTTGAGAGAACTACCAGGCTTACCCCGCTCTGCGCTTACTTTAAAGGTAATGAAATTGCCTACAAATTCTAAAAAACTACAAGTTCTTCTCGTAGGATCAATGGTTTCGACGCAATTTCGGTCCAAACAAGGTCTAAATCTAAAATTTTCAATTTTTGGAAAAACTGGCACATTTTCAAAGTACCGTAATTCGGTAATTAATTGACCTACAGAGCTCCAGTTGGGCTTGGTTTGTCACAAATTTGATGCTCTTAAAAAACGTATAGGACATCTTTCGACGAAAAATGCAGGGATTAGGAGATATAGAGCAGAATCTGAAACAAGTCCAAAAATTTCGCGGTTTTTGGTGTGTAAAAATTTTTCCACAACTTTTTGAGAGTTGCAAACTTGGGTATACATAGCCCTAATGGGTCCAAACAACATACTAAAAAATCAGAGATACATTATGTTTTGCGAATTTATTGTCGATTTTGACGATGAAGATAGTACGACAAGGCAATAATTACTTTTCGTCCTAGTTCAAAAAAGCGGTATTTGAGACTTATTTAGTTCTCAAAACACTCAGTTTTAGCATCAAAAAAATATTTGTAACAGTAATTTTGTGAACTGCTCGCCATCCTACATGTGGTTGAACCCATACCGACGTCTGATATTTTTGATTGTCCTACGAGGCGTAACTCATTCGAAACTACAATGCAGAACACTTCCTTCTTCACCACCAGTAATTAATCGGACCAGGCGCGTTAATCTCCGCAATATGCAGAATTTCGCAACTTACGACGGAGTATTAAAGCGGCGTTATACTTTCTGGAATGGTTAGACAGGGCGTAAATGGATGAATAACTTTATTTGATGTAGTTTAATTATTATGATTGCTAATCCATTTAGTGAACGGCGGTTCACGGGTCTGCAACGGGGAGCATAGCGGCTCGTTGAGAAATAGTTCATGCACCAGCGGCGGCGAGGTGTGGGTGTAGCTGTATTATTTAAAAGAAAAATTCCTTAAAAGTAACTTTGAAGTAATAAATTATTCAAGCAAAATAAAATCTGTTTACTACTTAGTTTATTTATAGTATAATAACAATTTTATTGTCCTGCTCAATTAGGAACAATAAAAGACACCACCTAACAATAAATAATGTTTTAATTTCTGTATTTTGCAATATAAACCACAAAAATAAAATTTTCGAAATAAATCTAATTTTTAGTGGTATTTTTCATTTATCTTATTTTTTATAATAATAACAATTCGCTATATTTCTGGTATTTCTTTACAAGCAAGGCTTCAATCAAGATAGTAACAAATCGCAAATAAAATAACTGCAACAATAAACACGTTTGTGTGGACGATTTATTAAATATCTAAAATGAAAACAAATGTCGAAATTGTATAATGTAATTAAAATTGGTCCCTACTACCCAACTAACACTAGAAATTGACAAAACTGGTCAATACAGGCAAGTTTGATTATCTCCAATTTCTTGGCCAATTCGTTGATGCTACAAAACTTACTCCAATTTTATCCAGTGATATTTTAAGACATACATTTTTTTTGGGTTACGTTTTTAAAGTATGTATCATGTACCACCAATCTAAAATTTCATTACACAAATACAAAAAGGGTACTCTTGTTCAAATCGTCGAAAAGGCATCGTTTTTGAGTCCCAAAGTCTCAAGCTTCTATTTCTTAATGTACAGTACGTCCGAAATCAAGTGGGTGATATTTCAAAGTAGTTTCCTTGGATAAAAGTAAATCGATTTTGATCTAAATTCATTTATTTTCATCTGAAGAAGTTATCCTTGAATTATAGCTCATTTGTTTGCAGACACTATGCAAGGACAGAAGGTGGTTGACCTTGAAACAATCAATTGCGATTTTCTCAAAAATGGTGAGCTTTCAGCGATTTTAAAGAGAGTAGCCGAATGAAATTTTATTCTGATACACTATAAAAACCTAACCTTAAAATGCTGTCATAAAACGTCTTGATAGAGAGAGTAGCTAGCGCCCTCTAGCAGATAGTCAAAAACTAACAACGCTGACATATTACGTGCACTCAAAAACTTTTTCGTACAAAAATTCAACACGATAGATTATTTTTTGGAAAATATATTTAAAAAAAATCGAGTTTGACGCCGTCCCAAAAACAAAACACACTAGGCCTAGGGAAAAATTGTCTTATTTTTATTGCGTGTTAATGTAATGTTAAGAATCACACAGGCACATATACAAACAAATTCCAAACCCAAGAGACCCACATATCTTAACAAAGGAATTCGATGCTCTGAACACGATTCTGTAGTCAAAATTCATGACTTCCCGGTGAATTTCGGAGAAAAGTGAATTTTTTAGTGAAAACCGATTCAAATTTGAGTCGAACTTGATTTTTTCCTAAATTTTATCCAAATATACTCATTTTCACGATATTTCTCAGAAAATCCACTATTTGGGTGAAAACTCAAATGTGGATCAAAACTGATTTTTTCTAAATTTTGTCTAAATATATCGTTTTCGTAGTATTATGAGGCGCTGAACAGGACGCCATTAGTAAAATGTAACATGACCCGGATATTTCCCAGAAAATTCAGTATTTGGGTGAAATCTGGCCCAAATATGGGTCAAAACTGATGTTTTCCTAAATTTTGTCCAAATATATTTTTTTCGCACTATTTTGAGGTGCTGAACCCGATGCCATTAGTAAAGTTTATCAATGACTTCGATCAAAATTGATTTTTTCCTAAATTTTATCCAAATTTATCATTTTCGTAGTATTTTGAGGCACTGAATACGATAACCATTAATTAAATTTACCTCTGACCTCGATATTTCTCAGAAAATCTAAAATTAGTGCTTTCAGGTATGTACCTGAAAATTACTTTTTTAACTTTCAGGTATGTACAATTTTGGATTCTCTGATAAATATAGAGGTCAGAGGTAAATTTCACTAATGGCATCGTATTTAGCAGCCTCAAAATACTGCGAAAATGATATATTTGAACAAAATTTAGGTATTTTTTCGGAATTTCAGCCCATATTTGGACCAGTTTTCATCCAAAATTTCACTTTTCTCCGGTATTCATCGACAAGTCATGAATTTTGACTACAGGATCATGTTTAACGTATCGAATTCCTTCGAAAATGATGTGTGGGTCTCTTGGGTTTGGACTTTTTTTGTGTATGCCAGTATTATTTGAAAAACAAGTTTCATAAAGAATATATACCGTTAAATATGTCTCTTTCGGATTTCTTATTACTTCTTTATTGGAATAGAGTCTGTCAGAAACATTGTTTTATAATGCAGATTGGAGGAATATCAAAATTATATTGTTTGCTAAAACTCTTTTCTTTATGTTATTATTTATGGGAGCATCTTGAAAATTCTTATAAGAAAAAAATAATTTTCTGAATGAATCTGTTATTTTAATTATAACTTATATAGAATACACTACTGAAATGAATTTACATTTTATGTCTACTATTTCCTTAAACATCTTACGAAATTTTTTAATGCACGACTTGGAAAAATGTGCGATATCATGAGATATTAAATTCGTGCAGGCCGGTTGTTGGAAAAAGTAGAGTAAGTACGTGTACGTCACTGTATGGTTATCTTGCATTTTTTAACGCTACGTGAATATCCAATTTAAAACACGGAGAAGGTAAATTTGAACATCATAGTGTATTACATTATAATGAGTCCCACCCAAACCTCAGCTCAAACGTCCCCGTATAAATACTAGTCATGGCGAGCAAAAATCATAGTGCCTTCCAGTTTCTTAGCCCCGTAAGATCTCTAATCTGTGATAACTCGTAAGTAGACGTCGATACGCCTTTCCTTCTAATAAGCTCTGGGTTTTTGTTGCAGCCAACATGTTCAAGTTTTTCGTCATTGCTGCATGCGCCAGTAAGTATTTTCAATTTCTTTTAAAAGCCGGTATTAGAAGCTACATTATTTTGCTAAAAATTTTTTTTTTGTACCAAATTTTTCAACATTCGTAATATTACATTTATATTTAACGAATTCTTGATTCTATTAAAAGAATATAAAAATATACGTAGATAAAGTTATTATACAAAAGTAATAAATTATAGTAAAAATAAAACAAAAAAATCTACAGTTCAATAATAATATAAATTTTGTCTTGCAAATTTTTGTTACAATATTTTTTATTTCAATACTTGTCTCAATCTTCTATTTAACTGTTTTTTCTATTAAAATGTTCCAAAAAAAACAATATTCAATTACCATTCGTCTTCTATTTTAGTTCCACAAGATGTTCAATTTAAAATTACTCATCGCTACATCACGAATAGGAAAAGACAGATCTAAGTTTTGTAAAAAATGGTATAGTGCTAAATGACTTCAATTTTGGGTACAAATGGTATTACTTTTCAAAGTGGTGGCGTAGCGACCATAATAAATTTTTTTAACTCGGGAAATTTTCATCCACCTGAAAAACTATAAAATTCTGAACTTTTGCCATAGGTATTAATAATTTTCGGAAAATAGCTCATTGTGAGATATTTGACTTAAATTACTTTTTTATTTGAGAACAAAAGTTATAATAATTTTAGTTTTAGATCACATGTTATTTTTCATATTAATGTGCACTGATTAATACAGAAAATAGTCACTTATCTTCAGTTAAGTATTACAATTATTATTATGAATATTCATCCACAATTCAGAATTCATTAAAAGAAAAAGTACCAAGTATTTCAATCAGCAAAACTTAAAATGAAATAATTTCCAAAGCACATATGACTTAAAAGTGATTTTGAAAAAGTTACAACAATTTTTGTTATTAAACTTACCTACCTACTTACTTTGAATTATAAATATTTCGAAGACCAGTTCCATATGCACCACGAAGAGAAATTTCATTTAGGCATATGAACTTGACAATACATTAGTTTTTGAAATATCGTTTTGGAGAATTTTAAACGGAAATTACAGTTCATAGTTATATTAAAAAGCATATTACATTTTTTATACTGATAAAACATAATAACAAACATTTTTGACTTAAACACTTTCCATCGTGTTAAGGATTGATATCTATTATATCAATTTGTATTAGTCGATTGTATTTTTTCCAAAACAAAATGCCAAAGAAATTGTTAGCGAAAAGTTAACTTCTGCATGTTATTTGATGCATTAACTTTAATTGGGACGGTAATGTAAAGAGATTGTTTTCACAGATTCTAGTTAAGATACAAAACCTGATTCCCGTTCTGTTCAATAGCAGTGTTAAATTAATTATCTGGGACTATGAACTGTAACAGCCATGAGGAAAACTTTAAAGGCGGAAGTTTAATAACCAATTGCTTTACATTTCGTTACACTACTCGCTCTGCCAAGTTATGAATAAAAATATATTTCAAAATACTATCACAATTTTAGTTTCTAATCTACCTCTAATAAAAATGTTGGAGGAAGTTTTGTGAAACAGTCATCAGAACTTCTGTCTATTCCTGACATCATCAGTGTCATCAAAATGCGACAAATTATGATTTCTTTTATCTGTAATAGTAGAAAAAACTGTGATAAAGTCGATAAATAGAAAGAATGTTTCAATATAGACATATTTGGTAAAAGCTTCTGCATAGACAATGCCTTACAGACATTATTGTGATCCAACTGACAAGAAAGGAAAGTATCTTGATGGCATGGAAGGCATCAGCAATTTGACAGAATACTTGGAAGACTGTTTCCCAAAATCTCCTCCTAAATTGAAAAGGAGATCTTTGGATAGTATTTTGAAGCTGATCGCTGTTATATCTATCTGTAGGACTTCTACTGTTCGTATTGTTAGTTTCCTTTACCATTTTAATTATTCGTGTAACAACAATATTTCCAAGTAATAAACAACAAATTAAGTGAACAGTATTCCAAAGAGGTGACCTCGTGTGATACTCAAAGCTTAGAATCCAAAATCTGTCTTCAAACAAACTGACAGTCAATTTTATTAATTCCAGTTTCTTGGGCCTCCGCTGGCGTCAAGCAAAGCGTAGTTCTTGAACCCCAACAGCAGGCCAGTCACGGTATTGAATCGATCCAGGGCTATGAAGACGGCGGGTACGGCGGAGAGTATGACGGACACGACATCGGTTCCGACGGAGGACACAGCAGCGGTGCCGAACTGACCAGTCTCGCTCATAGCTCCGCCCAGCAGGCTAAGAACGCCGTCCAGAACCAGCAGACCGCAGGATCCCAGGCAGCTTTCGGTATCTCCAGCAGCTTCGCCAGCGCCGCCTTGGGGGTAAGCGAATTATTTATTAGTTCTTCAACAAATCTTCGGTGTATAGAAGAGACAATACTTTCAAATTCTAAATTGGAATAATCAGAAGAAAAACAAGTACAAAATAATAAAAGATACTTATTCATTAGTTTTAAAATTATTATACAGGGTGTCCGCAAATTTCACCGACAACGTTTGACTACATATTCATGACGATAAATAAATATGATCTACGAAAAAAATTAAATAAAATCCTTTTGGTTTTTGCGTTACAGTCCTTCAAAGTTGTCAAAAATAAAACTAATTTAATTAATAACTTCATAGGGCTCTTACCGATTGCGGCAAAATTTTGGACATTGATTTGAACTATTATAACGTATTATTTCTTAAAACTTTAGTCAGATCGATATACTGGGTGATAGTTTTCTCCGGTTACCTCTCCCTTTTAGCAGTCAAAACTTTTACAACATTGAAACGGTCGTTTTGTTTAAAAAAAAAATATTGTTCCTTGAGAAAATCGCCTACAGAAAGTAATTCTTAAGAAAAATTGCATTATTTGCAGGTCTGTATGTTTCGGTTTGCGTAGCAGTGTCACGAATTTAAAACTTTGAGTTCAGTGGGATCTCATCATTCTCATCACTCCACACATGCAAATTATGAAAATTTACAACTCATTTCCTTGTAAAAGAAGATTCGTCGATACAAAACAATTTTAAGCAAATTATTATCTTCCGCGAAGCCATTGACTAACCAGCAGTAAAATTGTAAACGTGCGTTGAGATCTAAATTTTCAAGTTCTTGAGCAGGAGTTAAATAAAATAGCCGAAGAAGTTGCTTTTTTAAAGTTTTGTGAACATTAAGTTTTACATACATTTAATAGTCTTGATACACTGCGGACACTTCATAATTTCTATTTGTGGTGTGATGAGAATCCTAGAGAAATACGACAATAATGACATTATCTGATACCCACAGCAATCAACATCTTGTTTTCATCGCCTACTAAACTCAAAGTATTAAATTCGTGACATTGCTACGCAAACATAAACATACAGACCTGCAAATAATACCATTTTTCTCAGGAATAGCTTTCTGTATGCGATTTTCACAAGAGACAATATTTTTTTTTAGATAGAACGACCCTTTCAATGTTGCTGCCCGTTTTAAAAAAATACAACCACTGTAAAAGTTTCGACTGCTAAAAGGGAGAGGTAACCGGATAAAACTATCACCCAGTACATCGAATTGACTAAAGTTTTAAGAAATAATACGCCATGATAGTCCAACTAAATATTTATTTTTGACAACTTTGAAGGCTTGTAACTCAAAAACCAAAAATTGTTTATTTAACTTTTTTTCGTAGATCGTATTTATTTATCGTCGCGAATATGCAGTCAAACGTTGTCGTTGAAATTTGCAGACACCCTGTATAGGCAATTTTATTTCGCAATATACTTAAATTAATTTTTAACTCAAGTTTAATCTAAAATGGTGCAATGTAATTTATCCAAATAGTACAATAACCTCTTTTCATTATAAAACTGTCGAACATTTTCAATTTTTATCTCAAATGATTCTTTTGTCTGCATATGAAAATTCTGAAGGGATATCTATACATATCTCAGTCTTAGATGTATCTGCTTAAAATTTATTAAATCAAGAGATTCGCAACCTAACAATAACATTCAGTTTTAAATTTGATTCTTATTTTGAAAGGTTTCGGGTATATTTAGAACAGTTTTTTCTTTTTCTCTTGTGAAATTATTCTGAAACTACACTTTATCCGAATGTACGTCAGAAAGAATCGATTGTATTTCAGAATAGTTTAATTCAGGACATGTTATATTTGAGAATGTCATTTAAATGTCATTTAATTTCCAAAAAGTATCAAATGTACTTCAAAATTTATTAATTTATACATCAAAAAAGACATAGAATGTCCCATGTACGTAAAATTAATTTTGCAGTTCAGGTAAATATTAAGGCCAATACTTTACAATAAAGAAAATTGCAACATAAAATTATTAAAACAATTTTTTCAATAGCAATAATAACAAATATTGATAATAAAGGTAAAGACAAATATTTAAATGATTTTCATCATTTTATGACAATTTTACGCAATATATATTAAGACCAAATTGAAATTAAACTTTCTGAAATACCCCTAAAGAGAGCGTAGTACGAGAAAATATAAAAGAGAGGTGAACATTCGGTACGTCACTTATATCACAATTTTTTTCTTCAGGCCGCTCAAACCGCCCAAGCAGCCCTCGTAGGCAAGCAAGCCATCGTCCAGAACCTCAGGAGGCAGTTGCAGGAAGCCCAGCGTCTACTCCAAGGCGAAATCCACCAGTACCAACATTCCGAAGCCTCCGCACTCGCCGCCGCTCAGGCTTCCCAACAAGCCCAGACCCAGCTCAGCACCCTCACTGCAGCCTTAGCCGCAGTGCAAGGTGGCGCCCAACACGCCCAGCAAGCCGCATCCGAAGCGGCCAACGCAGCTGCCGCCCAACAATCCATGGTCGTCGAAGCTAAACAGCGCGTGGCCCGCATCTTGGGTCAACTCCACAATGCTCTGGAAGGACTTCAGGAGACCGAACTTGCTGCTCTCAAGGCCGCCGAGGCTGCCCAACAGGCGCAGTCCAACGCGGCTTCAGCTGGAGCTGCTGTCGCAGCTGCCGGATCTAAGGGAGGTCATTCCGAAATATCTGGAGGCGGTTACCACTACTAACATGTTTCATCACCAGTTGTTCTAAATTTTGTATATAGCCTGTTTTATATTTTTGTGAATAAAGTTACAATACTCACGTAAATGGTGTTTTGTTCAATTAATTGATAGGTTCGATTAAATGATCTTCATATTTTGAAATAACAAAATACGAGGTGTGAATAAATGGCGAAAAAATGGGTGCGAAAATGGGTGCGGGTGGGTGGGTGTAAATGGGTGCGAAAAAATTCAGGGGGTGATTCCCTGTCGAGTTTTTCATAAAAAGAAATCTCATTTAAACACACCCTTAAAAGCTTAAAGAGGGCGCCAGAAAAGTAATTTTTAATTTATTTCTGAAATGCCAAAAAAGTGACAAATGAAATTAAGTAGCTTTCTGCTATCGAGAAAGCACTCTGTAAATAATTTGTTAATTTTTCCTACGGTTGTAAGGGATAGAAAAAAACATACCATGTAATTGATTTTAAATATTTTTTTTGCTCGGAAATCGTTAATTTTACGAAAAAAATACAAGGGACCTTTTTTATTTACAATCAATCGGGCTAATTGAAATGGTAAAATAGTTAATGAGAAAAAAAGTTACGTATGAAACAACTATTAGGGATGGCTTTTTCTACCCCAACTAATTGTTTGCCTTCTCGATAGCAGAAAACATCTATTAATTTAATTTCTGTCACTCTTTTGGTTTTTCAGAAGAAAATTAAAAACTCCTTTTTTGACACCCTCTTTAAACGGTTGTATCTTCACAGGAGATGTTTAAATGAGATTTTTTGATATGAAAGATCCGCCTTATTATTTTACACCCCTATAATAAGAGACTTTTTTACTTTATTTTAAAGGTATTAAGCTACTTCAAATAAATTTAAGAATTAAAAAGAATTGTATCGATTCAAATCAAACCATGTTCTTCAATAATAAAGTACCTATGCAAAAGCTGTCTAATCTCATAATTAAGATTATTAACGAATGATATTGTGGAATCTAGTTCTCCATGGGCTACACCCTTTTAAAATCTTTATTTTTTGACGGATTTTGATAATTTTTTGATCATACTTAAATGCAGTTATTACCAACTACGACCACTTCCTTAAGCACAAATTTCAAAAAACATTATTAGGGATTTTTTTAGGAAAAAAGTGAAGACGAATTCTTATTTAGGATAACTTAATACCTACATTTACCGTTTTTGAGTGCTCTAAACGGAAGGGTTTCCGAGGAAAAAAAATTTTCTAATTGCAGGAATTTTTATTAGTAATAGTACAAATTATTATTAATCAATACTTACAGTTCTTTTACAAAATGATTAAACTAAAAAAAATAACAAGGAAGTTTGTAAAACCAATTAACTAATATTACTTCTGAATTCCATTATAACTTTTATCAATTCGTCGACGATTATTCCGTGTTCCATTTCTTAAATACTGTCGAGTTATACTCCAACAAGTTTCTCTAATGCCATTACATAGCTCTTCTTGTGTCTAATGTCCGTTTGCACCGAAGTTAATAAGCATTACATAAAAATAAGAAATGCTTAAGTAAGCTTTTTGTATTGCACCATACGTTAAGATCTTCTTAAGTATGAAAACAGATTCTTAAATTTAAGCCTCAGTTTGAGCGATTTATGAAGTTCTTTATTCAAACAGACTTGGAGCGTGCACAAAACACTAAAATTTACAAAAACAGATTTGTCTGCGAATTTTACCGTTGATAGAGTAAGTACTAGAATAAAAGAAGTACTAGATCTTGAGGAAATTATTATTTTATCTCTGATAACTAGTCTTTTGGTCAACATCAACAACAACCATATATTATTGTATATTACATTTACAACAAACACCATATACATGACAGGACAAACCGAACACCGAAACCTAACTTAACCTAATTTTTCATAAGTCCATGTAACAAACTGAAGAAAATCAGAAAGAACTAAAATACCTAACATAGAGTAATGAAAGTTACTAGATTTCTGCGTTGTTACCAATACATAGACGTACTTTGCTAAGTATAGTTTATGATCCGTCGGTGCAATGCTCTAAAAAATAAGTATAACTTAATTTTAAGAACAACTTTGTGGGTACACATGTTCGCAAGTGACCCATTTTTAAGCACAACGTCAAGAAAGCCGCCGGACGCACCACGGGGTTCCGGAAGCCGACCCCTGCAGAGTGGCGCCAGGACCAGGGACTTCTGCCACCGACTACCAAGCTACCTACGACCGACTTAAACCACAAGGCACTCTCCAGCAAACCCTCAAACCGTCAACATTACTTTTTCTTCACAAGCTTAGTTTTCAATAAAGATAGTTTATTTGTACCGTTGAGAGAGCGTTTTATTCTTGCTGTACAGCGAAAGCAACCCTCAACTTTATTAAGTTGTTCTTAGGATAATGTCGGTGCAAATGGGCATAAGGCCTTGTAGCTACACTTTATTTTTTAGGGGCGAAAGGTTTCGTCCTATCCAGTGATTAGGAAAATTCTCGTTTAACCAGTTTCTCACATTGACAGCATTATGGATAGGTACTCCTTCAAGTTATAAATGTAAATTGTAGTCACAATCAGGAGTAAGCTAACGCATTAAGTGCATAGGTGAACTCACTTTGTAAACATTTTAAGTGTGGTCCAATAAATCTTTGCATTTAAAATGCCACAGAAATCATTTATATTTAAAAAGCATTGTCTTTTACAATTAATTTATCCAATTCGGATTATATTCGCTCCACAATGGAATATTTTGTGATGAAATTCCGTTTGTTGGAAATGTAGCCTTAACCTTGTATAAAATATTTTTAACAAAATTCCAATCTTCCTTCACTACCTCCAACTTCAAGTGTGTCTATTTCCAGATTTGACTTTTAGAAATATTTACATTCCTACTAGCATCTCTAAGGCTTCTATGTGTCATTAAGCCGACCAAGAATTTGATGAAACTATAGACTTCCTTACATAGCTGAACGCAGAAAACACATATCTATCTATACTAAGAGTATATCGTAGTTTGTTTCTAAAATGCAGATACAAATAAATTTAAAATAACATTTCAGCCAAATCTTTTCCAAAAAGGTAAGTTTTCAAAGGTGCTAAATCTGTGAGCGTTGATATTTTTAATCCACAGAGAAAAATTCTTATTTTTGAATGTACCTTTTTCTTAAATACCGTGTCCGGTAAGTATCTATACTAATCTCTTAAAATAACAACGACTTCCAACATATTTTTTCATAATGTTGCGCCTTGCGAAGCATATATACACAATTTCTATAGGGAATGTTATTCTAAAACAATTTCTGTTATTTAATAATTTCCCTTCATGTTTAACACAATGTTATTTAGTTGAAGTTATGTAACCATCAATGTCATAAGTCTGGCTTAATGTAACAAACACTTACATATATAGATTAAAATAATTTACCGATGAGAATTGAAACAAATTAAGTTAGATTTATTTATTATGCAATATGTTTATATTTGCTAAATAAGGCTCTAGCATTCACATCACACATGGTTTGCTAAATATCGTATCAAGAGAAATCAAGATTTTCCATCGTCTACACAAAAGATTAGATGAATAAAACTAAATGTATAGTTTCAGTATCTTATATTTGGTTATCTGTTTAATCATCAATTCTTTTCTTTACCTGTTTCAAATAACCACAACGAAACAGGCAAAGCTAATAAAAAATCTATATCGTAATTACTTGTATAAAATTATTATTTTCCATACTACTTTCTTCGCTTATCAATCATTTTTCCCATTTTTCTTAACCGTTGCTTTGTTACAATTTCGTAGTACCTTGACAATTTTATAGATGGAATAGATGATAATCGTTGAGATCAACAGAACTACGAAAGCGATGTCAATGAGGAAGTATTCGATCCAGGATATATCAACCGTGGGACTTCGAAGGTGCTTAGTTCCTTTGTGTCTGATCACGTATTCGATCCACCAAATGGCTTTTTCCATAGGGGGCACTTGTTCATCGAGCATTAAATCCCGAAGTTTTTCTATGTTCCTTTTATACCTGCAAAAAATCTAACTAGAAATCTGAAAGAACTAAGAAAATAAAAAAGTTATGATTAAAAAAAGAAGGAAATAAAAAGGTTGGCTATACTGTTGTTGGTGATGAAATAAGGAAGAACATAATGAGAGTTATTGTATTTGAAAAAAGTGCGTGAGTAAAACGGGTTGAACTATGTGTTTCCGGGTTAGTTGCTACCTCGTTCTTCTTGAGTTCCAAGAGCTACGACACTCTATTTCAGCTCCTTGAAACTTGAGATTTGATTATATTTATTGTTAGTACTGACATATGGTAACATTATCAGAACGTCATACACAACAAATATTAATACCGACCAGAGGACTTAATCTCTAGTTTGCAAAGTTTCGTCAAGAGAAAAGAACGAAATTCTCTCGAAAATTGTTCAACCATTAACAACTGTTACGGAATCTTGCAGACTAAACTAATAAGTTGTCCATGTTACTCTACAACTTGTTAGAATGCTATTTTATTTTATTTTATTTAATACACTGTTCAACAGGTACTACCCAATTGTAGAACAGGGATTTTACAGACAATAAAAGAAGTACATTAATTACAAACAAAATTAAAAGGAATAAAAAAATACGGAGCATCATAAAAAAAGAAGGAAATAAATAAAATCTGTACACTAAATAATACAGATGCATTAAGATTCAAATTACATATTTGAAACTACCAGACATTAAAAATAAAGTATTTTTAAGTCATTAAGGATGCAGTTAAAATATCTACAGAATTTTTATTACAGTTGTTGCAGATTTCATGAAGTGGTGAATGTTTGAGTACATTACGAGGATTTGGTACATAAAATGTTCTGTTTTCACTAGAGCTAAGTCTAGGTATAGAAAATGATAATTTGTTTATAAATTTCTGGCAGTTAGCCAAATTACGTAAAATTTTAAAAAGAAAGACCTGCGAAAAGTATTTCCGTCTAGTTTCAAGGCTAATAAAGGAATGTCTACTTAAAAGGTCTCCATGCGGATATCCGATATGCGGATAGTAGCCATCAGATTTCAAATTTAAAAATTTTAAAAATCGATGCTGGATCGATTTCAGTTTATTAATGTGGACATCACTGTGCGGAGACCATACGAGGGAGGCATATTCAACATTCGATCTAACATAACTAAAGTAAAAAAGCTTTATGATATCTAAGCTTAAAAATCACAGTTGCAAACTATAAATTCATATGCTCTATTAGCTTCGGAGAAAACAGCATCAATATGATTATTAAATGATAGCTTTTCATCAAATACACGCCTAGGTCTCGAAATGTTTTCGGTCTTGACAAAACGTCATTATCAATGCTGTAATTAAACATAATGCGATTGAACTTGTTGGAGAAAGACATGACATTACATTTTTCCGTATTTAACATTAGCCTGTTATTATTACACCAAGATTGTATATTAAGTAGGCTTCCTTGAAGCTGAATACAGTCACTAATGTTGCGAACTGAGCTGTATATTTTTACATCATCGGCATAAATAAGAAATTTACTCAATCGATTTATATCAATTATAAACTATATACTGTTTTCAGTTGTCTAAATAAGATTTGAAGAAATTCAAGCCTATCAAACGCCTTGCTGAAATCCGTATATATTACATCAGTTTGTAAATTGTTGTCTATAGAATCGGCTATATATTACGTAACACTGATTAAGTTAGTGGCAGTAGAACGTCCTTGTATAAAACCAAGCTGACAGGGTGTTATCATATTAGAGATGTTATAATAAATTTAGTCATGAAGTAATATTTCAAAAATTTTACAAAAATTACATATAATGGAGATAGGACGAAAATTAGTAATGTTAAATTTAGCACCCTTTTTAAAAATTGGACACACTTTTGGTTATAAAGCAAACTCTACAAAAATCTATTTGAAATTTTTTTATTGAATTTATGTGAAATTCGAATCAACTCTTATTTTAATTATAATTGGAACATCCTGCTTATGGAATTAAAACTGTTACTGGTAATCACATTTTAGGATTACTTTTTTAATAGGTGGATTTATTAATGTATATATTTAAGACATATATCGACATAGTTAGGTAATTAATTACTTTGGACACTTAAATGATCACAAAATGTGAAATTATCTGCTAATAACCATATTTGCAGGATTATAAGTAAGTCGTTAAATTCTTATTTAATTGTTTACGAACTCATAAAGTGTGTAACATCGACATTGCTACAAACTTATCTCAATAAAAAGAAACAAAAACACAGGTGTAACTATTTGTTTTAAAACAATCCTAGAAGTCCACGATTCTTCAAAGATTAGACATGACATACAATTTTTGGACAAATAAACCTCAAACTTGGTACAGTCCAGTTCCAGCTGCCTCAACAGTTACGCCTGCTACAGATTTGGAAAAACCATTTCCAAATTAAACTTTTGTTCCAAACACTAACAAAATCAGTAACGAATCATTGATAACAGTAAAGTTTGCTTTAACAATTTAATGGAAATCGGTAACTCGTCAAATTGTCTGAAAATGAAATACATAGTATTGAGATGTCCTGATCAAAAGTTGTCCCGGGACCAAGGCCGAAAACTTATCGAGATAAACGACATTGAAAGTGACCGAGTCCCATTGTGCTTATACGTATAGACATTTTTAAGGAAAGCCGTATGATTCTTCTCTGTCTATTTCTTTCTTTCTAGGAAGAACTAGAGATACACCATTTTATAAGGTTTTCTTTGCAAGCCAAATTAGAAAAAAATATTTGACAAAAAAAATAATTTTGGGGTTATGTAATGTAATAATAATAGCTTTGTTCCTAGAGCAATCCAATAGTAGACGTATGCGCATTTCGATATAATGTTTACATAGGATTCAAAATTCACTGTTTAAATCAAAATATTTTTAAAAACATATTGGAAAATGTAAAATATAATCATATTTTTTATTCGAAACGAAAATTACACACATTATTTGTATCACACCTTATACCTTTGCAAATAGAGACGCCTCTCTATTGTTATCGTTAACCTACATTCGAGCACCAACAGTAATATAGATGTTGCAGTACCTATGCCTTGTAGATTTTATATAGATATCCATATTCGTATATGCTGTACCTATTACGTTCAGTAAAATGCCAACAGGTTAAAACTGCACTTGTTACGATTATTTCTACTCTGAAACCTAACGAATTAAAGTTTTTTATAGTTTTCAGTGCATTTCCTGAGTGAGAAAGAATGCCTAAACTGTAATTCTAAATTTACAATTACAGACCATATCAGACATTAAAGTAAAATCCAAAACTAGCCAATTTTCTCCAGCCAAATGATTTGTATTGACCTTTTATAATATTATAATATATTTTTCCACTTTTCTTCCTTCTTTTCTATGAAAACATAATATTCAAATAATTTTGTATTAGTATTTTGTATTAGTAAGTCCATAGTACTGTTATACAGTGGGTACATGATAAAGGGAACAAATTCTTTTAAAATTCAGGTAATTATTTTGTGGAAAAACGCTCGGATACGTCGATTAGTATGTTTATGACATAAGAAAATTGTATATAGGGTGTCTCAAGAAGAACATATGCGGTCATCATTGATTTTTTAATGGAACACCCTGTATATTATACTATTTTTAAATTGTACGGTAAAATCTGAACACTTACATACCACATCTTTAAAATCGGTGGTTTTCCTAATAATGACATTTGATAATTGATATTTGGAAATATACACACACAAGTAGTTAAATAAAATGTTAAAATTGAAACCTTGAACATTTTCTTAAAAGCCAACAAAAACATCTTGGTATGCTAAATTTTATCTGAAACAAAACAATTTTATTCGTATTAATCAATCGTTTTTCATTCCTTGACCTCTAGACCATTTTAATGTAGTATTTTGTGACAATAAAAACCAAACTATCACCGGCGTTTAGTTTGTCAGTGTCATGTAGTCAGTTTTACGTTTTATTTTAAACATGCATTTATCTGAGAAAGGACGTATTGAAGTACATATGATGATTGGTTTTGGAGACGGTGTGCGTACTCAACAAGAAGTGTGTAATTTATTTAGTGTAACTCATCCTGATGGACCCCCAATTACTAGATCCACTGTCAGCAAAATTGAATTGGAATTTGCTGAGCACGACTACGTTAAAGATTTACCTAAAGGAACACCAGCAGAGATATCAGAAGATTCTAAACTAGACGTTAAAACGTAAACTAGAAATTGTAAATAATCCCCATGTAGCCGTTAGGACAATCTTCAGGAATTGTAATTTGTTATCGGTATCTGTGTCACAAATACCTACTCCGAAAAAATAAATATCATCCTTATAAGATTCAATTGATACATGAACTATTAGAAGACGATTTTGGTCGAAGAACGCAGTTTTGTGAGCAGATAATTGAGATGAATAATCAAAATTAGATTTCACCCGAAAGATTATTTTTTCTGCATCGTCAAAAAATAAATGTTTGAGCAGGTATTGTCGAAAACCGAATTCTTCGACCTTATTTTTATTTTAAATTTAAATGGAGAATGCTACTTAGACTTTCTTGGGTGTTCCATTAAAAAAATCAATGATATATGTTCTTCTTGAGACATCCTGTATACAATTTTCTTATATCAAAAAATCCGCAACTAAATATACTAATCGATGTGTCCGAGCGTTTTTCCACAAAATAAATACCTGAATTTTAAACGAATTTATTCCTTTCGACATGAACGGATTGTATGTAATATCAACTATGCAATGGGAAAACATGCACATAATTCATTCTGTCATTGTCTACATACTTTTCATTCTCTGCCACTTCAATTATTGCATTCTTTAATTCCTCCTTCGTAACGGTTTCATAATCCACTCCCACTCCAATCCCGATTTCAGCAACTACTCTTGTATTCATGGACTGGTCCGCAATAAATGGCATTCCGATGATAGGAACACCTCTGTCTATTGCCTCCTCGGTAGACTGCAGTCCGGTTTGTGAAATAAACGCCCTTATGTTGGGGTGAGCTGCAAATATTAACGGAGAAAAATGTGAGGAATCAAACAGATCCTGTAATAAATATCTACGAAACGAACATATTATGAACGAATGAAATAAAAAATTTCCATTAATGTAAGTTATATCGAGTGTTGTCAAAGTTGAGTCACTTATTTTAACAGCTGGTAGAACTGGAAAAAAATCGAGATACTAAAAAGCGTTTATATAAAAGTTACCAAATAAAACTTATTTTAAAGAATTGAAATTTAAAAACTTTATAATACAAACCTGATTTATCGTCATTTTCGACCACTGCATTGTAAAAACATAAATGGTAAACAAATAAATAGTAACAATTTTGAAAAATTTTGAACAATTTCTGTTGAATATTTTGAACAATATTTGTAGAACAAAGTTTTTATAACTCTCTTCTTCTGCAACTTTTATATAAACGATTTTTGGTAAACCGACTTTTTTTACGAGTGCTACCAGCTGTTAAAATAAATTACTCAACTTTGTGAACACCCTGTATAAAATTAGAATTAGTGATACTTATGTATGTGTAAAGAGTTTACATAATGCCAAACAGGCATATTTAATTATTAGAACTTTTATCAGGGTAGTTATTGGACCCAAAGATGGAGGTTATAGCAGTGAAGAAGAAGGAGAGGAAGAAGAAAATGGTTACTGGATACCAATAGTTTTATAAAAAAGTCGCAGAATTTTTGTTGTCACTTTGTTTATTAATCCTGAAGTGCTCATTTATATTTATTGAACCTGCAGTATCATTTAGTATAATGAATATATAAAAAAATATATATAAATTAGAAATATACTTTATAGGTGTACTTTGAAACTATAGTAAAACATACCTACATCAACTTACCAAGTACATCTTGTTGTGGTAGCCATTTCTTGATAATAACATTTGAAGGCTTTCCTGGCAAATCTACGGATTCGTACTTCCACAAAATGGTATAAGGCAACTCGGAGAATGCTTCATTTAAAACTATCCTCAACCTATCTGGCATATTGACGCTTTGAACGTTTGAACCCAAACTGAAGAAAATCACTCCATTTTTGGCATTATCCAAAATGGTTTGTAAATCCTACAATTCAATCATATATTATTGTTAGATTTGTCAATGCCTAAGAACAGTAACTAGTTTTTAGTAACAAAATCAACAGGAATAAAAATTTACGAATATTTCTCCACTTTAAAATTAGGAGGTTGACTTATGCTGATAAAATTTATATTAACACTGCTGAAATTCTATACACTTTTTTGCCTTATATATTCCACCATCACCAAATTCAAGCTGTAAGTGGTATTAAAAATGTCAAAATTTAATAAAAATTTGCAATATAGGTAACTGTTTTTTTGCAATATTATCAGTTTTTATTCTTCAAGGAATATTATTAATAGTTACACAGGTTATTAATAATTAAGTCAAAATGTTTTCGAGCTACAAGGTGTTGTGATTTGAAAAAGAAAATCACATTTGATAACGCAGAAGAGTACCTTAGACTAAAAAAAGGTACTCTTGATTATTGTCGATAAAATGAACCGTTTACAAGAAAAAAAATAATAAATGAATTCATGTTTTATTTTTAATAAAAAGGACTATGATATCTATTTTTTCTCGACAATAAAGTGACATCGCTACACATTGATCCTTTACTTTCATTATTAATTTACCGATTTTAGGATTTCGTGATGAATTTAATTGTGAATTAATTCGAAATATGGAATACACGTTTATTGAGTATGCAGATATGCATCTCATGTATGGTATTGTTGACATTTTGATGTTATTTGGCGTTAAGAAAAATTGTTTGTGGCATTCTCGACAATATCAAATATCTCCGAAAATAAACACGATAAAAAATATAGTTTTCAGCATTCTATCAAGCATGACAAAACCTATCTTCTGCCATACTTATTACATTTCCTAATTACGAAGCTCAAAAGTCCAAAGGTCTCTATCATTGATATTTAATTCATATTCCTTACAGTTTCCAAGGTATTTGTAGATTCTCATATTTTTTGTTGCTATTTCCACGTTAAAAACGTTCTTTATTAACACTATTAAATTTGAATATGGTTCACTGCAGTGACATCCACAGCTATGTATTGGTACTACCAGGAAAGACATGAAATAAAAAAATTAAGAGTTAGTGGTCGTACATTTGGTTATAAAATTTAAAATACTGTTGGTTTTGCTCAGCAATGTTTCTTCTAGAAATATTCGATCACAAATGATGTTCCATCTGATAAGTCGAGTTTCGACTGATAATAATGTTGACTTCTCTTGTTTACTTTAAAAATATATCTTTTATATAAATCATCTGACTATATGTTGATATACCTGGCGATTGTAATTTTTCGATTCCCTGTTTTTTCTATTTTTACTATTATACCAATGCTTTGTAACTTTTAATTGTATTTATTATTAAATAATAAATTCATAAATCTTTAAACAACAGTGGCGTTAAAAATAACTACATTTATGCATAACAATTAGCTTATTGTCAAGGTTACATTTGTTTATACAAATCAACAATGATTAATGAAGTAGGGTACTAATTAGAGTAACATTACAGGAGGAAATTTTTTTAGTATTCATGACAGTAAAGTCTTATCCTTGAGTAGAGATCTCAAAGAATATTAAATATTTTAGAGAATTTCATTCCACGAATGTTACGAGAAAGATTAAAAAGGGAAGTGAATTTGTATTTTTATAACAAATAAAGGTACTTAGATAAGTGTACCTCTGTACTATAAATAAATTAAAAGTAAAAACATGTTTCAAATACAAGCTTTTATCAAGTGCGCTAAAAAGGAAAAAATAAACCAAGGAGTCTATAGACTGCAGTGTTACGAATAATATAACAATTAAAATAAATTAAACTTGGAAAATGTCAACCAAACATGTAATATTTCACAATACAAATATTGCAATTCCTTAAGTCAAAATAAACTGAACTAGATAACAATGATACAAATACAGTCTTCTTCATTTGAATTGAAAATCTTTATTTAAATTGGATGTTTAAATGAATAGTGTAAAATCTTTTAATGCAACCAGATAGGTGTCTAGTACTTCAAATAAAAAATAATAATAATGATCAGTTTGAATGTTTCTATATTTTGAACCTCATAAGTCTGTACTCACCTTAGGCAACGGCTTTGGGGGTTTGATATGCAACCTTTGTAATGGAATAATAGTCGGCACCGTCGGTCTAGGAGGATAGAATATCGGATTTGTAGTCAGAAACAGAAGACTAAGATTTTTCTCTATTTCACCCATGTAAGGCATATCGTTCCCTAAATACTTCCTAGCTATTTCATCACATCTAGGAATAGCTACAAATGTAAGATAGAATCTGAGCCATATATAATAAAGGGTGCTACAAAAACGCTCGTAAAAAGTCAGCTTTCCATTATAAGGCAAAAACATTTCCGAATATAGTGAAGGAGGATTTGGATTGCCCATTGCGTAGTGAGAACCAACGTATCCACCCATGGACGCCACTCCTATAACTGGTGCTCCTAGCTTGTATCCTAAGCTATACATGATCGGGCTAATATAGGTCTGGACCAAGATTACGTCAAATTTTTCATTACTGTTATTATAGATTTTTATAAATTCGGTGTTTGAGAATATGGCATCTGCCGCATCGTAGTTAATGGCAAATATCTTGGGTATTTTGGTGTGCACAGCGAATTCCTTGCGCATGAAAAACTGGAATCCGTGCCGTTTCATGGAATCCGAAGCGTAACTCATGTCGATTTCGGTGAGATTTACCAACCGTGGATCCTTCAAAGGATATGGTGTAACTACAGTGACGTCATGTCCTCTCAGAGATAACTCCTTCCATAAAGACTGAAACACACTCTGGTGGCTTACTGTCGGCATTTGAAAAACACCCAGTATACGAGCACATTGCAGCGAACTTGCCAAACTCAGCACCAGTAATAATAACAAGTATTTATCCATGTCTATAATTATACTATAATTTCTAGTGAGATGCAATTAAGGTTAAATATTATCGAAAGTTTTATCTTTTATGGTATGATTCACAACGAGATATCTTGATTGCGCTTCGTGAACGGCATTGTGTAGTACTGATTACTAACAGAACCAATCTTTCACTAATGTTTGTGTCTGGAATAATGCCGCCAGATATAATAGGTAAGCACGACTATCTACGATCATCAACGAAAACATATATCCAACTGGGACGGATATTATAGAATTTAATGGCATCATTCTTTAATTTTCTTACAGTGCAGTAAGTTTATAATGAATTTTACTTTTGGAATCTTATTGGCTACTTAAACTAAAGTAAAATTGCATAACTAGTTAAACCAGTTAGTATTTTGTAATTGCTTTAACAGTTTTATAATTTTATAAATTGAACAATATACAGAATAAAATGATTTTCTTCTACTCTTTTTTATTCTCAAAACACCATGAATACATGTTTTTCAAATCGAAATTTGCCAATATCTCCAAAATCAAGATATATTAAAATTTGGTTGTCAGTTTTGAAAACAAAATTTGTTTTCAAAACTGACAAAACCAAATATAACGAGCGTTCAAATAAAAACGTGGTCAAGTTGGTTCTGAAAATTTGGACGTAGGGCGTAGTGCATAGCAAATGAACTTAAACGTCATCTGTCAAAGCGCTGTATCGCCGCTTTGTTATTGAAACTGACAGCTGTGACAGCTGCTATCACATACTTCTATCCTATACTAATCATTTTGCGATTGACTTGAAGCCGAAAAGTGGGGCGACGGACCAGCGTATTCATACGCATGCGCTTCCTTTATGGGTTTTGATTGGTTGAAAGGAACCAAGAACGGTAAACAGTAAGAAAGCCAAGCTAACCTAAAAATATTCTCATTATGTTTTGTGTTGATGTGTTGTGTTAGTCCTTTGGTNCATTTTTATATTACTTTATTCTTTAATATATTTTATTACTAGTTCTCGCATTTTTACTTTATTTTGAAGGTACATATTAAGAAAATTCAAATAAATTAAAAAAAAAAATTCCTAAAAATTCAGTCAAATGAAATCAAATAATGCTCTTTAATACCAAAAATACAGGAGTGCAAAAGATATCTAGGGGAGACTGGGGCAAAGGGGACCGCTTAAGACATTTATCTAAAAATTTTCTATATTTACATGAATTTAAGGAAAACAAATACATGTAGCCATACAATATTTATTTGGCTTCGTTGAAGACAACATGGCAAAAATAAAATAAAAAAAATTTAATAAAACAAAAAAAAGTATTTCTGGTCCTACATGCCCCAGGCTTCGGGGCAAAAAGGACCACCATTTATTGTATGCACAAATTGCATACAAATTCATCGTCATTTTCATCCAAGCCTGCGCACTCATCGTGTGTCCATTTTCCGCTTTGCTGACATCTAATCCATCCTCCGCTTCCTTTACATTCACCATAGACTTCATTACAGTATAGACATTCTTCCTATTCTGAATCAGTTTCGCTGTCAGCATTTATGTTGTTTTCGTTAAAACAATCATAAAACACACATTCGCTTTTATATACGTTTAACAGTACTGTCAAACACAGAACTGAGTAATGCCAACCTCTAGCGGGAATCTATATTAATTTTAAAATAAATTAACTGATCCCGTTTGCCCCGCTGGTCCTCTTTACCCCAGTCTCCCCTAATATCATGGAAAATACATTTAACTGACGATATTGCTGGGCAACAACTAATTTATAGGCTACATGATCCAACTAGCATAGAATTATACAGAGCCAGAAGAGAATGATTACAAGTCACGTGACCAGTTATTTTATTTGCTTCATATTGGCATTCAAAACAATAAGACCAAGATTACATTCAAATACAACATTCTGTTGCAATGGCTGTAATTGGCAATTTTTCGCGAGATTCTATTCAACCAATCAGCGATCGCATTATCTCGAGCGTAGGCGTAATGGTTTGTTATTGTTCATTGTAAACGAATCATTGGTGATGACAAGATTTATTACCAGTACCAATCGTTCAATGTTGTGTTTCTTAAGCTTGACGGACTTGTAAACATTTATGAAGGCTCTGGACCATCGATATCTAGTAAATAGCCAGCAATTAACAATTTTATAAATAAAAATTGAAAATAACATGCCTAAATAACATTTATTCAAAAACCTAACATATTGTAATTATTAAATAACGTAATTTTGAAAGAAATGTCTTGCTTTCTTGACTGACATCGCCCTTGACACAGAGCAACACGCAAAATTACATTTACACGAAATTAAAAAAATACAATATCTGTTCTGTCAATTTCTCTTACCCCGTCAGTTTTAAAATAAATAAACATATGAATGCATACGTTAATTCGTGCAAAATATATTGATACAACAATTCGACAAATATTAATAAATAAAAACATCACAAACTGATCTGCCAAAAATATTAGCTAACTTTAACCTTCCTGCATGTAAACCAGTAAATCAGGAAATTTATAGCCTTATTTAATATGTACACAGTCACTAAAAGTACACCAACCACAAACACGATAATGTCTAACAACAAATATTCCACCCAGGTGATATCAACTGTAGGGCTGGTAAAGTGGCTCGTTTCCTTGTGCCTGATGACATATTCTGTCCACCAAACAGCCCTTTGAAGTCCAGTCATTGATCGGTGTAGTACTACTATACCTGTAATTAGAATTATTTAGTAAATAGCACCGAAAACCAGTAAAAATTTAAAGTATTACGCACGAGGTAAACAAGCAGCTGACTAACACAGTGTCTACCAGATCGGTACTAATATTAACTCAGAATTTTAATAATAGCACGGTGAAAATTCGATATTATTCTAAAACTCAGAACGAGTGACGTTTTCATATTTTGCAATTTTGAGCCAATGCGTATTAGATAATAATAGACATTTTTTAATTTTATTTTTGTATAAATCCGAAGAAATTACTGATTTGTTTTTTCACATAATCACTTGTAAGGAAACGCTATTTGCCTTTGTTTGTGTAGAATAATTTAGAATAAGTTTTAAATTTTGTTAAAAAACCTAGCAGTTTTCGAGATAAGAGCAATATTCTGTATCACTATACATATAAACGGACTTTTAATAAGATTCAAATTGATTTAGGAATAAGATGAAACCAAATTTCATTATCAAGAGAAAGGATACATTTAAATAATATACAGGGTGATTCACAACTTATCCAAAAAAATTTGGGAATAGATGCGGCATAAAAAATGGAGCCAACATCGTAAAAAAAATTGTAAAATCCTTACAGTTTCCGAGAAAAAAATTATCGAAATTGTAGTACTTTCCACCATTACATTGCTGGACAACTGTAATCTCTAGAGTCATTTGTGTTCTACGCTTTACGCAATGCGCGTGGAGAACCTCGTGGCCCCAGCGACCCCAAATACTGAAATCCGATTTTACAATTAGTATTAGCGTCATTGCGATAGTATTTACAACAGTTTTTTAGTAATTAGTGTCAAAAATGGCTTACTTTGTGTTAGTTCGTAGGAACTGAATAAGACGGACCCAAATGTATTTACACGTTGGTGAACAAAATTTTGAATACTTATTATATAGTCTTTCCGATATCAATTGAAGAACCAAGAGGATGGCGGTATGTACTAGGTTCGGTCGCTGACGTAGCAACTCGGCATTGAAATATTTGAAAAACTTGTTCCCATATTTATTTAGCCATATGCATATACAAGTCTAGTCGAACTAAACGTGGATGTGGTAGAAATGTATACGCCCAGTTGAAGAAGGCGAGCGCGGACAAACGAAATACAAATACAGTTGCATTGGGCCACTGGGCAATAAATCTCAGCCGTTGACAAGTGGCCGATAAATTGCCTGGCAGTACAATGCAGAGTGCGGAATTTGGTATGATTCAGGTAATTTTAATTTATTATAGGCACCTTCTATTAATCATTGATATTATAATTGCGAAAGGTTGAAATAATATTATTACATGGCATTTTGGAGATCTTTTGAAACGGAACAAAACGAAACTTGTCATCAATATAATAAAATTGTTGGAGGTCATAAATAATTAAAATGTGTTGTTGGCCAAATGAACATATAATAGAAATTTTCTGCACATTACATATAAATTATTATAATTTTTTACCTTTATCAGGAAACTTTTTTAGAGACGCCTATGAAACTCATAAAATTTTATTGCCAGGCGTTTTTTTACATGTTCAACTGACTTCGGAAAGACTATAACATCAGGTATGTCAAATTATTTTATTAATTAAAACCACAAATTAATTTTATTAATTAATAACAACAATAGCAGCAAAAGCAGTTGAATTTGCTGATATAAAATAGGTGCTATAAAATTCTATTTATTCCTTTCCTTGCGAAATTCTTTCAAGTTTTTGTCCGTTTTTATCACACTTTGTCCCATCGAGGTTGAAGGTGTTTTACAGTGGACCAGTTTCCAGTGCCGTGCAGAACTGTATTTTTAAATCATTTTCGAACTGCCCTTTTTGATTTTTTCTTTACAAAATTGTATTTGTAAGAGTCTTCTTACATCCAAATTTTTTTTTGGAGAAGTTCTGAATCACCCTGCTTTGATTGCATAATATTTTGGCTTATTTACTAATCACAGTGTAGGTAAGTTTTTTCGCTGTTCAATTTACTAAACAAATCTTTAAATTCTCTATTAACAAAAACTATTTTATTATACCTATACCTTTATCCTGTTATAGAAAAAAGATTATGTATTACATGCAAGTATATTGTTTAAAGCTTGGTTACCACCTAAATAGTACTAACTTCAATATTTTCTCCCTTAGGTCATATAAATTATTACATATTTCTTCGTTTACTTTATCTTTTTTAGTGCCCCATAGAATGAAATGTATTGAGGTCAATTGGTCCTATAGATCATAAAATTATCCCTTAATAAAAAAAGAACATTTAAAAAATGTTTGTGTCTAGAACAAGATAGTTATTATTAAAACACCTTTTATAGTACAGTATTTTTTTTCATAATAAAATAAAATATTCAAAGATCTGTTTGGTAAACTGGAGGAAAAGCATAAATAAGCACGAGTTTCATATCAATTTTCACTTATACAACTATTTCTATTTTCCCCACTTCCTTGAATAAATTTAAGCCGCTAAATTTTCCACAATATATTTATTATAAGCAGTAATATAACTTGACCAATTTCTTGATAAACTTATTGAGTTAAAAATTAGTAAATGTAAAATATTTATTAAGTAAAATTTCTAATAGAATTGTTACGAGTCTTTGTAGCAGAATAGCTCTTCTAGAGTACTGTATTTTTCAATATCTAATAGCTTCCGTTGCTTCTTGACAAAATTATAAGAAAATAGAATGATATTAACTTTAAGTTTGGCGTTAACTAGGTCTAACGGTAATTATTGCTAATCTGTCTAAACTACTACCAAATTCAAATCTATAAATTGCTCCTTTGATAGGAAAGTTAGTTTTCCACAAATTCTCAATTTTTTCAATACAATGTAAAAATAGTTTTATTTTTTATTTTAATTGATAAGTGAGTTTCGCCATTTTTTTCTTGTAGACATAAAGGCGGCAGAAAAATAATGGGTAATGGGTTTTTTGAGAAGTCAATATTAACAGTTACATAACCTTAAAGTTATTTTTTTCCTGAGATTATTTAAGTTAAGCATTTTTTTACAATTTAGTACTAATTCTCCAAGAAAAATCATTAAAGTTCTAAACCCAATTGAATGTGGTGAAGCATCTTCAATCATAGCTAAATTTTACTTTTTTGCAGAACAAACAAAGCAAAATTGAACATAAAGTAACATTATATTTTTTACAGTTGTAATCATTAAAGTTTGCCGAATCATCTTAAATTACATCAATTTATTTACGAAAATTATGAAATTTATAAATAATTAAAATGATTCAGCAATATTTGATCTAAAGTTGCAAAGTATTTTGGCAAAATATTAAGCAAATGCATTTTTTTCTCGAAAATGTTATCAAATGGACGTTTTTATAACTTTTGATGATATTCAACATTAGGACATTTAATTTTTTTAAAACTGCAAATAAATTATAAATTTTCTAGCCAATAAAGGTCATTTAAGAACTTTGAGGTTCAAAATTATGATAAGAATGATTTTTTTGCAGATGGAGTTTATTTATTAGGATGAATCTTTCATGTCTTTAAAGTTTGGGAGTCTATGTGTAGTATGGGTAGAGTATATAGTACACTACAAGTAAATTTTAAAGATTATTTAATGTGTAAAAGTATAAATATAGAGTATAAGTAAATATAAACAAGGATACGATCACTTTGAAAAAAAAGCCCGTAGGTAAAAGTCAAAACTGTATTAAAATATAAATATATAACAAAACTATCAAATCTATCAAAGGAGACTAATCATCGTATAGGACTAAATCGACTGTAACATCGGTATCCTCTATTGGTACTTCATCCACTATTTGTTCTTTGAAACCTACTGCTATACTTGTAGGGGGTACTTCTAGAACATCTCTAAGTTTCCTTTGGTATTTATCGTAGTAGCCTGCACCATGGCCTAACCTTAACCCGTCTTTGGTAAACGCCACACCAGGTACTACCAATAAGTCCAAACCTGCAAGGACACATTTCTCAATATAAAACTATGGATTTCATTAATCAAATTGCACAAATGAAAAAAGAAAATGTTGCAACCTACTTTGAGACAAAACTAAAAAACGTCACAATGAACTACAAGGACTGATTTTTTTTCGTCAAAATAAATTTAAAAAAATTGTAAAATTTTTTTTTTAAACAATTCTTAAAGGCTTTATTATAATTCAGAGCTTATAAGTAAGATACAGTTTTCAATTAAAAATTACTTTGAAATAATTCAATATACAGACACAGACAAAAAGTAACAAAGCATAGTCAGATGCATAAATTCAACTTTTTTATAATTATGCACTTATAATTATTGAGAAAATAGAGCAAAGGAATACATCTTTGTATATGGTTCCCTGTTCATTCCTGATAATATAATTGTTTGTGGACTTTTACTTATGAACGATTGTTCTGTTACAATATAATGATCATACCAGCATCTAGAGCATTTTCCCTTTCGTCTTTTAGATAAGGTTGCTTAATATTCCATTTGGTTAAAGGCAAATTCTCCCAGTCCTCCATATCCCGTAACTTGACCATTTCCATCCCAGCCTTCCTATACCTAAAATTGACTCTAAGAGTAAAACGACGTGTCATTTTGTTAATACCAGAAATGGATAAAATTTTGAGATGAAGTATCATATACAAATAAGATTGTCTCACCTGGGCACAAAACACCCCTTTCCCTGTTCAAAAAGTTTCCTTACAATTGGTTCAGTATCGATTTCGTTGTCCATGCTCAGATATACGGAGACATTTTTGGCCTCTTTAAATTTTGGTAAGCTGAAAAGCTAAAATAAAGTACCTAATAAAATGTGTAACTTTTTAACTTTCATGAAATCTTTTGTAACTGCTATATGTATAAATTGTACCTCAATTCGATTGTCAAATTTCTCAGGTGTCAAAATTTAATCAAAATGTTAAATTCCGACTCCTGGCAAAGAAATAGCAGCTGGAAGTTGACCTATTGAAAACAGTTGTTGGCTATTGATGACAGACAGAGTCACAAAAATTGGATTAGGTGAAAACCAGGTTTTCATAGCAATTTTGATAAAGATAATGTCGATTTTTTTTGTCTTTTAAAAAATGCAAGCTTGGACTCTGTAGCGACAAAATTAAATAGTATATCATCAAGAGACAATTATTATTACAAAGCAAAATATGTACGAAAAACAGTTGTCATCTTCATAGAAACACAAATATTTCAAAACATCAAAGATGACTTTTAAAACCTCCTATGACTTGCACTTATTTACATAATAAAAAAATGAAGAAATATGATTTAAAAAATACATGGTATTGTACTACACATTTAAACTGTACTAATAAATACAAACTAATTAATACACAATTTAAAAGTTATAAACTTTCATCTGTATAGCGAAAGTGAATACGAGGTTTTTATTTGATATGTAATTTTTGACAATAAAATAATTGTTAAATACATATACTTTTTAATTTTACTTTAAAATCATTCTTTTGAAAGCAATAATTTTCACTTACATACTATCACTCTTGTATGATGCCAGGCTATAATTTGTATTTCCAAGAGATAAAAACAAATCGACTTTTTTATCAATGTGGTTACCAAAAAGTGGTTTCCAAGCAACCCTATTTTGTTGGCACCCCCTATAGGTACGAGTCATCAATAGCTAAAAACGTGTAGGGACTAAATTTGGTACTGACAGATTAACTAGTTAGAATATATTTAAAGAAAAAGTCGTTTGTCAACAGGGCATTTTCAACCTGTCATATCTTGGTAAGAACCCGGAATTGAGCAAGAGTTCGTCTAGTTCTCCTAGTTCAAGGGGTATCAAGTATAAAGTAATAGAAATATAATTACAAAAAAATATTTATGCAACGTCATCAGTGTATTTCGCGATACAAACAATGAATAAGCTATAATTCTTACATACTCTCTTACCTTCTCCACAACAATTTTCGATTGTCTTCGTCTTTCTTCAGGGGAAAGCAGCGCGAGTTTCTTTTCGATTTCCGTCCTAAGGGCAGCCTTCGCAACTTTTACAGCCGACATGATGCTGCAACAATTTAATACGTGATCTTAAAATAACATCTGCATATATTAATCTGTTTGTTTTTGGATATTTTATCGAAGTTTATCTTATTCGAGTCACATGCAAATTATCAGTTCTATTATAGTGGTTTATCAGTTGATCCCTGATCTTTTACTAAACCTAATTGAAGAATGATTTGTGAAAGCTGTGATTCTAGACAAAAATCCTGTGGGGATCGTAGTGCAATATTACATGATAGTAAGAATGTTACACAATTATGTCTAGAGGTTAGATTTAAAATAGCTGTTAGCCACATGGGAAGAATGATATTTGTTCGTAGGTACTATAACTTATTACTTTTGCCTTTTATATAATCTTACTTTTTCATATACTTATAGGTTCAAATAACGAAGAGCATATACAGAGTGACTCAGGTTTAATCTGGATAACTTCAGGGATCGATAGAACAGGTCAAAATAATGTTCATGCATGATATAAACTTATTTCCTAAATCGTATCGTTTCGGATATTTTTCCCTTTTCTTAGCACTAAAAATACTTTTGAAATAATACTTTTAACGATATTCACGAACGTCAGTTTATGCAAATCATTGTGAGTTTTGTTTTACATGGGTCGCTATAACGCTAAATGAAATTTACTCGGCTGGGGTGCCACACTGTCACGGATTTCATTGAATATCTCAGAAATAAGGCCAAATATCGAAAAAAATAAAAATAAAAGACGAAAATGCTTCAAAATTAATGAGACAAAAGTTGTATGCAGCTTTTTTATTGAAATTAATAATTTTTTTTTGAAGCTTTGAAATAATATAGAAGATGGCATCACACAAAATCCACTTCTAAGACTGGTAGGTAGTTCAAACTTAATAAGCTTATGTAAGATCATGAGGGGTGTTTGTGTTCCGAATTTCACCTCAATCGGATGAGTCGTTCAAAAGTTATGAGGGAAAAGCGGGGAAAAAATTCTTTTTCAACGCCCTCTATATCTGAAACGATGCGATTTAGGAAATAAGTTTATATCATGAATGACCATTATTTTAACCTATTCTATCGATTCCTGAAGTTATCCAGATTAGACCTGAATCACACTGACACAATAGCGTACACAGAATTTTGTTATGAGGGGAGTGGGGGAGGTGTGTAACTACGAACCGTTCCTGGGGTAGTTAGTGCAAACTAAGATCCCCATAAAAGAAATTTAGCGAACAAAAATAAAAAAATTTGTAATACCGTATTAGAACTATTTAATGATTAGATGGATGGCGTAAACTGTTTAAGGCGCAGGATGACTTGCTAAAACTGTTTCTAAAGTCAAATCTGCAAAAGTTCCAACAAATTCTGGAAATATCAATTTTATTTTGCGATGCGATTGTTTATAAAGATATTTAATTAGACTCTGTTAGTGTTTTTTTATATGATTAAATAAAGAGAAAACTTACTATTCCAATGATACATGAAATGAAGGAAAAAGTTGTTAAAACCATATGATATTTAAACCATTTAAGAAACCCATGTGGTACACATAGAATAATTTTTTTAGAATATTTTTTTACATAAATGTTTATATACAAATATTTCAAAAAATCATAGTCGTAGAAATTACTTTCATCAAAAGGGAGTAACTCCCCCTTATCTACGGCTATGACAACTGAAATGATTTGTCTTATTTTGAGTCGACAAATCTACCCTCAAAGTGAAGTACCACTATTTCCGAACACCCAGTATGTTAATATTCCCAAATATATAACGAGCGTTCAAATAAAAACGTGGTCAAGTTGGTTCTGAAAATTTGGACGTAGGGCGTAGCGTATAGCAAATGAACTTAAACGTCATCTGTCAAAGCGCTATATCGCCGCTATCAATTTGAATATTTTCATTTTAAACGCTTTTTAAAACGAAAATATTCAAATTGGTAGCGGCGATATAGCGCTTTGACAGATGACGTTTAAGTTCATTTGCTATACGCTACGCCCTACGTCCAAATTTTCAGAACCAACTTGACCACGTTTTTATTTGAACGCTCGTTAT